CTTCTTGAAGGAGGATATGTTCCTCACTACATAGTAAGCTGTATAGATCATCTAAAGAGAGTGGTTGAAGGTTGGTTCGAATAGCTGTTTTAAATGATAGGTAGGAGGATGGTAAACCATTGAGCGTGTATAGAATAACTTCCTCCGGATCTATGGTATGACTTGTTGCTTGGATTGCATCAACCTTGGATTTGATTTCCAAGAGATATTGGGTCATAGATTTATCACCTTTCGGTAGATGATGTAAGTCGTTCTTTAACTGTATGATTCTTGATCGGGTAGTGGCTTGAAGGCGATGAGCAAGAGTGGACCAGATTTCATGACAGTGAGTGAGATCAAGAACATAGGGTAAAATTGAGGGAGTTATTACAGAGTATAATGCTGCGGCAAGATGTTGATCTGTAAAATTCCAGAGTTCTTGCGCCGTGTGATTGCCGGAAGTGGGCAATCCGGTTGCCATTGCAGAGGGCGGTGGACAAGGAAGAGTGCCGTCAAGGAAGCCTTTGAAGCCGCTAGCTGTGAAAACTTTTTCTGTCTGGGATTTCCAGAGCGGATAATTATCTGCGGTGAGGGAGGTAGGGATCAGATTCTTGATGTTATTCATCAAGAATTTGAGTTGAGTTGGAATCACCATTGAGGAGATGGATGAGTTTGAATCAGCATAAGGAGTTGATACGGAGGATCCAGCCATGGTGAAGGAGAAAAGAGAGAAAGACAATCGTTGAGGGAGACGGAACAGTCGAATGACTAGTCTGATACGATGTTAGCCTGATTTGTCGTGAGGCGGCAGGCTTGTACCAGAGGTCCCAAGCACAAAATAGAGAGAAGAATTTGGAAAAATAATAGAATGTATTTCTTGAGTTGTACCTACTGTATACAGTGCTTTATATAGAGTATGAAAGAAACAACCTCCGTACAATTCTTTATCATGACTGTACGGCTAACTAATTTTAAGTAATACAAGATTTGATATTTTATTCATATCTGTTAACATACACCCTCAAACTGATGTGTCAGTGTTGACAATTAGTTTGTGAGCAAGGTATTTGAAACGAGATATGGATAAAGGTTTAGTGAAAATATCAGCTAATTGGTCTTTGGTCGATATGTGATGAATCTGTATCGAATTATTCTTGATGTGATCCCGAATGAAGTGACAATCAACCTCAATATGTTTGGTCCGAGCGTGATAAACTGGATTGTTTGCAAGCGTGATCGCGGAGGTGTTATCACAGTTTACTGTTGTGGGATCGTTTTGAGGAAGATCAAGCTCCTTTAGTAGTTGTCATAGCCAGAGAGTTTCAGTTGTAGTAGTAGCGATCGCCCGATATTCAGCGTCAGCCGAGGACCGCGCCGTCGTAGTATGTTTCTTTGCACACCATGAAATCAATGTAGTTACCAGAAAGTTGCAGTACCCTGTGGTCGACTTCCGATCCTGTATGTCGCCGGCCCAGTCTGAGTCGGTGTAGCTGCTGAGTTGAAGATTGCCGCGAGATATGGGAATGCCGTTGTGAATTGAGCCACGCAGGTAGCGCAGGATTTGCTTCAGCTTTTCAAAGTTGTCCACAGTCGGTTGGTGCATGAATTGATAGGCCCGATTCACTGCATGGGTAATATCAGGTCTTGTGAGAGTAAGATATTGGAGAGGTCCAACAATCTGTCTGTACAGTTTGGGATTATCGAATGCCGTTGATGTTGCAGCCATGGTTGAGTTGGTTGTCATAGGAGTGGACACAGGTTTGCAGTTGAGCATCCCCGCCCGCTGTAGTATTTGTTATGCGTAGGTGGATTGATGCAGGATGAGTCCCGTTGAAGTTGGTTTTGCTGAAATGCCAAGAAAATGGGTAACAATACCAAGGTTTCTCATTTTAAAACGTTGAGGTAAACGAGTAAGTAAGGAATTTAATGATTGGGAGTTGTTACCAGTCAGAATTATATCGTCGACATAAATTAAAAAATACATGAGTATACCATTCTTACGATAGATAAGGAGAGATGTGTTAGATTGACTGGTAGTAAAGTCCAGTTCATGAAGAAAGCCAGTTAGAGTTTCAAACCATTATCGTGGGGCTTGTTTTAGGCCGTAGATGGCCTTCTTGAGCCTGCAGACGTGTGTTGGAAAGTTGTCGTCAAGAAATCCGGGTGGTTGCTTCATGTGCACCGAGTCCGTTAGGGAGCCGTGAAGAAATGCATTGGAGACATCGAGTTGATGTAGTGGCCAGTTATGATGTAGAGCTAAGACAAGAAGAATGCGTACTGTTGGCATTTTAGCTACCGGACTGAATGTGTCGTGGTAGTCGATGCCAAATTCTTGGTTGCAACCTAAGGCTACAAGCCTGGCTTTGTAGCGAGCTACGGTCCCGTCAGAGTTACGTTTGGTTTTAAATGTCCATTTGCAGCCCAACGTGTTCTGATTTGTTGAGGGTGGAACCAATTTCCAGGTGGCTTGGGATTGAAGAGCTTGAAACTCCTCGGACATGGCTTGACGCCAGTGAGCATGTTTCACTGCCTGAGAATACGAGGTAGGGTAATCCTCTGTTATATGGTGTGTAAGATCAAATATGCGTCTAGGCTTTAGATGTCCAGTTTGAAGACGAGTGCGCATGGGATGCTTGGGCAATTCAGGAGGTATGAGATTCTGTGAGATGTCGCAATTTGTATTGGAGGAACTAGAATTCTTAGGTATTGGTCTGGAAGTATTGGGTTGATGTGAGTTGTAGATGGTATTGTGATTGGGCTGAGTATTGTAGACCAATGTTGACGGGACGAGCAGCAGAGGGGGAACGAATTTGCTATTGTGAGTATCTCCCGTGATGTGAGTGAGTTCATTCTGCTGAAAGGGAAAAACCTTTTCATTAAAGACTACATGCCGTGAAGTGTATACCTTTTTCGTGACAATGTCCATACACCTGTACCCTTTCTGGTTAAGAGCATAGCCGATAAAGATGCAGGGACGCGACAGAGGAGTGAGTTTGGAGTTAACGTAAGGTTTGAGCCAGGGATAGCACAAACACCCGAAGATTTTAAGGTGGGAATAAGCGGGTGGATGTTTGTATAATTGCTGGAATGGAGTGCTGTTGTTGAGAGTACGTGTAGGAAGATGATTAATAAGATATATTGCTGTGTGCAGAGCATCGACCCATAGTTGAGACGAAGCATGGCTGTGAATAAGAAGGCTGCGGACAGTTTCAAGAATATGTCTGTTCTTGCGCTCAGCGACACCATTTTGCGGGGGAGTGTGGGGACATGTAAATTGGTGCTGGATTCCCCACTGTCTGCAATAGTTGGTGAATGAGTTGTTAGCGTACTCACCTCCGCCATCTGTACGAATTATTTTGATATTGGTGGAAAATTGACAGTTTATAAATTTGTGAAATAAGACAAACAAGTTGGTAACTTCAGATTTTTGAAACATAGGAAATATCCAGCAATATTTTGAAAAATCATCTATAAAAGAAACAAAATATCTATGGCCTTGAATAGAGGCAATTGGGGAGGGACCCACACATCCGAGTGCACAATTTGAAATAATGCAGTAGTTTTCGATGTAGAATTAGCAAAAGGAAGACGTCTGCTTTTAGCCAGACAACATGTGTTACAATTATTGTGTGTGGATGTGCAAATAGTAGAATCTGACCTAGCTAGATGTTGTAAAACCGGAGTAGCAGGGTGACCAAGACGACTGCGCTATAAGTCCAGAACGATTTCAGCCGAGAGCAGAGCTAATTGCTGATTTCGAACCTTGGAGGGGACTCTGTACAGGCTGTTATGGCATGGCCCTTGAAGCAGAAGATGATGCGTCTTCGAGTCCTTTATTTGATAACCATGAGAAGAGAAAGAAAACACACAGTCGTTATCTGTTGTTAGTTGATGAACCGAAAGCAAATTAAAGGAAAGATTAGGAACGTGATGAATCTTGTTGAGACAGAGTTTACCTGTGGGAGTTAGGAGAAGGCCTTTACCTGTATTATGTATCTGAAGTGGCTGGCCATTTCCCAGAATTACCTGAGAGTTACCGTAGTATGGTTCAGTTGCAGACAGTTGTGATTGATCCGCCGTGAGGTGAGATGAGGCTCCACCGTCCAAGAACCAATCCGTTGATCTGTTAGTATCTGGAGCCGAGAATAAGGCTGAGGTGTTTGAGTTATCTGAGTAGGCCGGATCATTGCGATACCAACAGCGGATCGCAGAATGCCCCATCTTCGTGCAGATCTGGCAGGTGGTGTTTCGGTGAGGGTTCTTGTCTCCTCTGTCCACGACCTCGGTTAGTTCTGTTGGTGTTGTACCGGCCACGAGCACGACCGCGAGAAGCTGCGAGGGCGACTGAATTGTCTGTGATCTGCATAGTTTGAAGATCTTTGGTGGCTTCTTGAAGGAGGATATGTTCCTCACTACATAGTAAGCTGTATAGATCATCTAAAGAGAGTGGTTGAAGGTTGGTTCGAATAGCTGTTTTAAATGATAGGTAGGAGGATGGTAAACCATTGAGCGTGTATAGAATAACTTCCTCCGGATCTATGGTATGACTTGTTGCTTGGATTGCATCAACCTTGGATTTGATTTCCAAGAGATATTGGGTCATAGATTTATCACCTTTCGGTAGATGATGTAAGTCGTTCTTTAACTGTATGATTCTTGATCGGGTAGTGGCTTGAAGGCGATGAGCAAGAGTGGACCAGATTTCATGACAGTGAGTGAGATCAAGAACATAGGGTAAAATTGAGGGAGTTATTACAGAGTATAATGCTGCGGCAAGATGTTGATCTGTAAAATTTAATTATTGTGTGAGTGAGTGGTTATTGCATGATCATGTGATTGTAATGTGATTATTGCATGATTGATTTAGTTATTGTATGAGTGTATGATCATTGCATGATTTGAGAACTATTCTATGATTATGTGAGTATATAATTGAGTGACTATTACATGATCATGTGAATCATTGTATGACTATATGATTGCTATGTGATTATTGCATGATTGTTTGCTTATCGTGTGGTCTGATAATCATTATATGACCAAACAATTAGTATGTGATCATGTGAGCATTATATGGTTGTGTTTATGACTTGCTTGTGTTATTGAATGATCACATCACTATTGCATGATTAGATGATAGTTGCATTATGTGATCTTAATAAAGATTGGTTGATTGTGTAAGTGCATGACCATTGCACAGTTTGTTATTGACCACTACATGATCATTTGCTTATTATTACGTTGCATGGTAAGATCGGATGTTTACAATATTTATCGCATGGTTATGTGATGTTTGTCTAATTGTATAATTTAGTGATTCGATGATAAGACTGCTTGATCGCATGATTATGTGATTGATGTATAATTGAATGAGCATTGTGTGATTGTATGTTCATAACATGGTGGGACACTTGTTGCATGCTTGTTGTATGATTGTATGCTTCTTGATTCTCTTTAGCTAGTTGTAGGATTCTTCCTAGCGAGTCTTTCTATTTGATCGTAGGATTGCATTTTCCTAGCGAGTCTTTCTATTTGATCGTAGGATTGCATTTTCTCACTGTGCTGGGGTAGCCAACAAAAATTTTTCTGCATTCAAAAACATACAATATAGAATATATATGTTTATTAGCTTAAATAAAAAAGAATAAACAATTAATTTAGACATAACATAAAAAATATTAAACAAAAATACCTCAAACTCTCTAAACCACATTTCCGAACTTCTTTTGGGTCTTTCTTCCAAGAAATATTTCTGTATAATGTCCCGTATTTTATGTGTTGGTTGTTTTGATGGGTAGAACCTACAAAATCTGGCTCATACTCATCATGAGAAGTCTAATACCAATACCGTGACATGAATCCTCTGCGATACAGATCAATAATTACATCATCTAGTCTTAGATGCACTAGATTTTTATATTTAGAACATGGACATCAAAACATTCCATCTGATATGAAGCTGGGTAGTTATTGTTGACCTCGTTTTTGTCCTGATTTGTCCTCGAGCACATTTGATCGAATCGGTCGAGTCTCGTCGGGCTCGATTTAATTCAAATCAGGATTAATTTGGGTTTGGTTTTGTTGATTTGGGTCGAGTCGAGTCGAACTCGAATTAACTCAAATCAAGTCACATTGGGTTTTGATTTGAACTTAATTTCAGTTTATTAAGCCCATCTAAATTTTGATTAAAGCTTGATTGATTTTTCTTGAGCCAATTTGAATCCCACGGTCCGATCAAGAATTTGATCGGACGGCTCAGATCTACCTTCTCTCCCTTGGCGCCCTAATTGAGGCCAAAGCATCCCGCTCCCTCTCACTCTCGGTTCGGAACAGACAAGGGGAGGCAGAAGAAACTCTCCTGCTCTCCCACACACCCGATCTCTATCCCTCCATCTCTCACTCCCGACCTCTCCCTCTCTATCTCTCCCGACCCTAAATTCCCTTCGGTCCACACGCTAGGAGGCCGAGCTACCCCCCTTCTCTCGCTCGCCCTGGTGTTCGCGAGATCCAGCCAAGGCCGACGCCTTAGCTCCTCCTATCCCAGCTTCGCACGGTCCAGGACCGAACCCGACGATCTCCTAACGACGCACGCCTGACCGAGCTACCCCCCTTCTCTCGCTCGCCTTGGTGTTCGCGAGATCCAGCCAAGGCCGACGCCTTAGCTCCTCTTCTCCCATCCGACTTCGCCTCCAAGACCGACGCTGACCCAAGCTCTTACCTTGACCGCTAGCTTTGCCCTTAACTCAAGCAGGTAACCTCTTCCCCTACTACTTC